GGGCTCCTGGCATCGCTACTAGGAACAACAAGCTACTAGGGGCTCCTGTACTACTAGTAACAAGAAGCTGTTTGAAACAAAAGATTCGAAGCCTTTCGTCCTACGACTCGACTCGACTCGTCGCCTCGACCCGTCCAGCGCGTGGATCTTCAACTCGCGCCCGCTGGCGCCGGCGCCGGTGCCAGGCCGACCCGCTCGGGCACGCTTGGCCTCTGAGACCAGCCTGGGTGTTTGTTGGCACACTTCGGAAGGAAGACATGTAAAACACATATTAACCAACGCACAATATGTTTTAAGGTTTGGAGTCAAAAACTGGAAATAAGTATAGGCTTCTGGTGATTGTTAGGATACATCTAGCGATACCATGTGATAGACTCTGACTCACATGGAGGTACACCACCAAACCGGGGGTATTGTGGAGTTTCCTCGGCAATTGGAGCCACCTCACGTCACCTCCTCGTGGTCCCTGCCCAGTGCGAGGCATTTTGTCGGGAGTCGGTCTGTGGGGATTGGTTCAGATCGAAAGCTTGACACAAATGGTTAACACATCGGATTGGTTGACACAATGGGATTGGGATTGGTTAATGAGATTATATTGGTTAACTTGACAACAAATGCTCGAAGGAAAGGGTGCAGTGCTGGCCGCTGAATTGCCCATCACATATCAGGATCGAAGTTGATCGAGGTAAGATCCTCTGAGGGTTCACGCGAAGATAAATCAAGCCCCTGAACATACTGGGATAGTGTGGCCTCCGTTTCAATGTTTCTGAATCCTTGATTGAAGTCCGTGCTTGTAGGGGGTCCATGACAAACCACAGGACGTTCGGTAACCCATGTCTTAGCTACCCTCTGAGCACTACAAAAAAGATCACCAAACGCCGCCAAACACCTTCCTTCTTTATTTATTTATTTGGTGCGTTCTTTCTTCATTCACCTACGGAATCCCTTCCAGTTCTATGCTACCATTGCTGGGTCATCCAGTGGATGGAGGTCTCCCTATTGAAAATACAAAAACACATGAATTAGCTTAGATTTTAAAAAATAAAACATGAGAAAACCTCAGAAAAAGGACCGCTCTGCACGCTCCACATCTTCGTTGATGAGCCCCAGCAGTGCTTCGTCTGCCAAAGCCGTACTCGCCCCAGCGCCCATGCTGCGTCGAATCGCCAAGCGCCAGGGCCGTGGCTCGGGTCGATTGCTTGGGCCGTGGACGAGTGAAACACGCGTGAAGAAACACATGTCACATATTATAATATATAACTATATATATATATGTAATGATATGTAATATAATTGTTGATCCTATTTAATGATTGAGTTGTGTGTGTGTTAATCCAGAATGTGTAGATACGTTTCTACAGCATTGTCAACTGGAGATAAAAGCCAAGCAAAAGTGCCACTGCACTCGCACGTCCTTCACACTTTTATTTGACAGCTCGGCTCGAGTGCTCTGTAGCTTCAACGCGGCAAACACGCTCCCGTGTCAACGGTCAAACGTCCCACGGTCTGCAGTCAGCTTTGCAGCCAGCAGCCTGGGCCTTCTTGACTTGACTCTCTTATTCCTTGGTGGTCATAACAACTTCAACTTCACCAATGGCTCCCAGGCCCAGCGGTGTTGGACCTCGTCGTTGCTGGGGTGGTCCACGTTTTTTGTAGTAGGCCCTGGAGTCAGAAAGCCATCATCTGTTGGTGTGGGATATATATATATATTGGGATCATATAACTATCTCTATATATCTATATATATATATGAGTATAGTTCATATAGTTATATATAGTTCATATGTGTGTATTTGGCTGGGATTCCTACGCATTGCCTCATTCAACACCAATCAGGCAAGGGAAAAGGGCGAATCTTAGATTCTAGGCCCAAGGAAAGGACTAATTAAATCTGAGCCAAGGGCAATGTGCATGATACACCGCTTTCTCTCACGCAAAAAAGTCAGCCGCCCATAAGTTCTCAGTTCACACTGAATGGTTTTGAGACCATGCATGGTATCTCCTGTGAAACTGCAAAACATAAGGCAGTCTGGGCCATGTACACGGGAAGACTCTGCGGAGCTTGGGTCTGTGTTTGGACTGACATGTGCAAACCATCACAACATATCACAACCATCTACTGATTCACAACTTGATTCGATCATGTGTCTCCAGATCCACATCAGTTTGCCCAAAGGTTCATCTGTCTCCATCCGTTTGCTGGGAGTTTCCACTTCTCCAGTGTCACTTCAACTCTACGTGGAATGAGGTGAAAGTGACTTCCCTCAGGCTACTTGGCAAAGTGACTTCTTCCATACTTTGTTGGAAGCCTCCGCCGACATCCAGGATTTGCAAGCTGCTTGGCAGCATGACATTTGCCAAGCTCTGGTTGAATGACCTACCAAAGGTCAGTGTCTGCAGACTGCTTGGCAAAGTGATACTTTCCAAGTTCTGATTAAAATCATCACCAAAGGCCAAAGACTGCAAGCTACCTGGAAGTCGTGCCACATTCTCATTGAAACATGCCCCGAAGGTCAAGTTCTGCAAGCTCTCTGGCCACGTGACACCTTCCAGACTCTGATTGAAGCTTCTTCCAAAGGTCAAGGTCTGCAGGCCATCAGGCAGGATCACCTGAGCTGTGGGTGCAAAAATGTGTAAACCAGCATGCACTGCGTGGGAGAATCCTTCCAAGTTTGCCTTGGAAGACTCACTGCCCAATCCGACAGTGTGTGGCCCCGCCAGAAGCGGGGCATCTGCGGACTTGAGGACTCCACGTCATCTCAAGGTGGCGAAGACTCCACGCCCGCTTCTCTTTCTCCCACATTCATCCCACATCCCTTTTTCAGGACGTATCCGCATGTGTCAATCCGAAGGGGTCAATCCGAAGATGCACTCGATCTCCAGAACATGCTCTATAGCCGCAACAAAATCTGAGTCGGTACCGGGAATCAAACAAATGCTTAGAGTAAATGCATTTGCATGTATTGAAATAATATATATATATATTATATAGACAAATAAACTCATTCCAAATCCTCGAGTAGTCAAAAGGTAACTGGTGGATTCAACTCGGTGGATTGATACAACTCTCCAACCAATCTTCAAGCCACTCCCCACCGCCCATGGGCGTCACCGGCCTACCAATCCAGCAATCGTCGGCGCGATGCACCAATCCTCGAGTCCGAGTGACCTTGGCCAAGCTCCGATTGAAGGATGTCCCAAGGCTGAGGCTCTTGAGATCTTTGGGCAGCGTGACCTCGTCCAAAGGTTGGTCAAAGCATGGGCCGAAGGTCAGGCTCTGCAAACCTGGATTGTGCAGAGGACAGAGGACTGGGAAGAGATGAAAGGGAATTGGATGATATTTAAACGTCGCAGGGTACAATGATTAATGACTGTGTTACATGTTGCATTTATTTGCTAGTATTTATCAATTTGTTCGATGCTTGTCCGATGCTGATTCTACATTACAGGTGTTCACTTGAGCATTCTTTGACCAGTGAAAAGAGCCAGTCGGATCTAAACTGCAAGAACCTAGTTGTGGTATGTTGTGGTTGGTATTTCGAGAAACCGTTGGGGAGAACGGCTTCTGCCAAGCTCTCGTTGAAGTCGCCGTCAAATCTCAAAGTCTGCAACGTCTCAGGCAGTGTGACGCCTGCCAAGGTCAGATTGAAATCTGAGCCAAAGATTAAAGCTTCTAGGCTGCTGGGTAGTACCAGGTCTTTCAAGCTTTGGTTGAACTTCTCGCCAAAGGTCAAAGTCTTCAGACCTGTTGGCAGCACAACGCCCTGCAAGCTCGTGTCGAAATACTTTCCGAAGGTCAATGTCTGTAGCCCGCTTGGCAATGCAACCCCCATCAAGCTCTGGTCGAACCACCCGCGAAAGGTCAAATTCTGGAGGCTGCTTGGAAACAGAACACTTCCAAAGCCTTCTTCAAGGTTTCCGGCAAAAGTCAAACTCAGCAGGCTGCTTGGCAAAGTCACACCTTCCATGCCCTGGTCAAAATCTGTGCCGAAGGTCAAAGTTTGTATGCTGCTTGGTAGTGTAACACCCTGTAAGCTCCGGTTGAAACAATTGCCAAATTTCATGGTCTGCAGACTGCTTGGCAAAGTGACACTCACCAAGCTCTGATTAAAGGACTGGCTGAAAGTCAGAGTTTGCAGTCTATCTGGCAACGCAACGCCTTCCAAGCTCTGATTGAAACCTCAGCTGCGCAACCCTTCCAGTTGCCTCTGTGGCAAATTTTGGTGTTCATACAAGACCACCTGGCTAGGTAGGTAGGTAGGTGGGTGGGTGGGTGGGTAGCTAGGTAGGTAGGTAGGTGGGTGGGTGGGTGGGTGGGTGGTAGGTAGGAAGGTACAGTAGGTAGGCACAGTGCACAGTAGGTAGGTACAGTAGGTAGGTAGGCAGGTAGGCAGGTAGGTAGGTACAGTGGGTAGGTAGGGAGGGAGGGAGGGAGGTCCTTGGGAAATGGTTTTAGACAAGCATTTGGATAGTCCCTCCAACCTAATAGCGATGGCCTCCAACCTAAAAGCAATGGCCTCCAGCCTAATAGGAATGGCGTCCAACTTGATAAGAATGACCTCCAACCTAATAGTGTTGGCCTCCAATCTACTAGTGATTTCCTCCAACCTCATAGCAATGGCCTCCAACCTAATAAGAATGGCCTGCAACCCAATAGGCATGGCCTCCAACCTAAAAGCAATGACCTCCAACCTAATAGGAATGGTGTCCAACCTAACAGGAATGGCCTCCAACCTAAAAGCAATGGCCTCCGGCCTAAAAGCAATAGCCTCCAACCTAATAGGAATGGGCGCCTCCAACCTAATAGGCATGGCCTCCGACCTAACAGCAATGGCATTTGGCAACATTTGGAATCATTTGGATGTTCCCTTCCAAGTTGCTCCCTCTGATCCATTAGCTACACATCACATTCTCTGCCAAGGCACAATGTCCAAGTGACAAGGTCTGTAGCGTCTGGGGAAACAGAACTCCCTCCAAGCTCTCATCAAAGGACTCCCCAAAGATCAAGGTCTGTAAATTGCTTGGCCAAGTCACACCTACCAAGCCTCGGCTGGCTTTCTTCAGTGTGCCAGTGCTTGGTGTACTTTCCACTTTCCAAGATTGAGGGGAGGATACCTAAAGTACCCTCTGACTCACTAACATGGAAGTGGAAAACAGCTGTTTGTAGAGGAACATGGTCTTCCCAGTGGCCATTGTCCATTTCCATGCTAGTCGGAGTGTAACCCGACCTAAATCCCCCTTCATGGACCGAACGCAGTGCTGCGAGTTCGGGAGGATGAACGATGAAAAAAGTGTGTTGTTCAGGAAAGAAGCTCTGGTTGAAATTCCAACCAAAGGTCAACGTTTGCAGATTGCTTGGCAATCTAACCCCTTCCATTGGCTGATCGAAGCCTAATCCAAAGGTCAAGGTCTGCAAGCTCTCTGGCAGCGTGACAGCTTCCAAGCTGCTATTGAACAACAAACCCAAGGTCAAATGCTGCAAGCTCATTGGCAAGGCGATGCCTGTCGGTTCAGATCGCTTCTTTCGATCTTAGCGACCCTGCGATACCCTGTGGCCATGAAGACTTTTGACGGCTCTACATGGCTCTAATCTACTCCCTCTAACTTGCTCCAGCTTCCATGAGTAGAACGAGAAGTTGGACATGGCCGCTTGCGCGAGCCTGAAGTATAAATGTGTATTTCATTTCTATAACCTTGAGGTGGACACTAGAGTTCTTCTTGCGAAGACCTGCCATGGTGCAGAACTTGGGACAGCAAGGATGAGAGGAACCAAACCAAACCAAATATGATGCAGACATATTATGTAGATCAATAACAAAACGATCATGCAGACATCTAGACCTGTTGACTATCGACACGGTCAGGATTTGCACAAGACCAAGCCTTCCAAGCTCCGACTGAAGTTGGCACCGAAGGTCAAGGTCTGAAGGCTCGTTGGCAGGGTCAAGCCTTCAAGATCCCTGTCAAAGCTTTCACCGAAGATCAAAGTTTGCAAACTGCTTGGCAGTGTGACATTCTCCAAGCTCTGGTCAAAGGCACTGCCAAAGGTCAAAGCCTGCAGGCTGCCTGGCAAAGCAACGCCTTCCATGCTCTGGTTGAACTTGTCGCCAAAGGTCAAAGTCTCAAGGGTGCTTGGCAGCTTTACACCTGCCAAGCTCTGGTTGTAGCTCCCACTGAAACTGAGCCTCTTCAACTCATTTGGCAGCTTCACATCTTCCAAACTCTGGTTAAAGGAATTGCCAAATGTCAGGGCTTTCGTTTTGCTGGGGAGGGTCACGTTTCGCACACTTTGATTGAAGGTGTCGCTGAAGGTCAAGGTTTCAATGGTGTCCATGGCAGCGACATCTGCTCCTAGATCGCTTTTTGGCCAAAGAAATCACAAATCAAATCCGCCCGCACCGAAGGTGCTACTGACACATTATCAATTTAATCTGTGCCGGCGGCTTCTACCGCGAAGCGGTGTGAATATGATCAAAAATGGTTCCATTCAAACATCAATTTTCTCGAGGGACATCAAGTTTCGGGGGAGTGCTTAGCTAGGTCTACGAATCGAGGGTGACCAATTCGCAGAACATGACCGTCCAAATGTGCGGTGTGACTCATGTTCCGACTCATGCCACTCATGGAGACTAAGAACGATGGCCTCCAACCCAAGAGCCTAAAGGACACCTTTTAGAAAGTGAACAGAATAGGAGCAAGAACGCTACTAGGAGCTCCTGGCCTTACTACTAGGAGCAAGGACGCTACTAGGAGCAAAGGGCATCGCCACTAGGAGCAAGAACGCTACTAGAATAGCCTGCTAAGGGATAGTCACCCACGATGCTTTGGGGCTCAGCAATGCGGTGTGGCAAAACTCATTCATTTCGTGCTGGACACGCCGGACACGCCACACATCCCCACTCGCCATCACACATCTTGTCACACTAGTTGGTGTGAGAATAAATCAATCGGGTTGAATATGTTTGAATGGAACCCAAACAACCATGGCCGGCGCTGTGTCTTTTTGTGTGGTCAAACGCACTGGAACTCTTGTTCACCCGGGGGCCGCTGGACCGTCCAATAATTCACCCAGCCACTGATGCTCTCCTCTCCAGTCGCCAGGGCCCGCCACAAACACGTGGCGGCGTGGGCCGGTGCAGCTCGGCGCCGTGCCTCGGCCAGCAACCTCGGCGGGACGAGACCGACACGTGACCGTTTACGCGTTGGGTCCGATGTCCGAGACCGCACAACGGCCTGGCTGCAGGATGAATCATTGAAATTCCCTTTATTTAAAGAGGTATTTTCAGCGACATCAATCACCATGGTTCTGGCAAAGCCCTCATCACCTGCCTTAAGTTTTGGTCGATACATACACTCGCCAATACAATGGTCGACAAGACTTGGGTACAACAAAGGATCTTCTGGCTTCCAAACTGGGGCTGGCGCCACCCAGCTGAAGGGAATTGATTATAGTCTCAAGAATGATGTGTTTGCTCAAGGCAGATCATGCGTTTTTCTAAAAGAGCTTGGACGTTACCCCTTGAATCCCTCCCAAAATCCGAATATCCTTCCCTCAAAGTGATGTCGGATTTTGGGCCCACGTGCGGCTTCCCGTCACCCTCCAAAAAGTAAGTCACCGCTCTGCTCGCTCCAAGTCATCGACGATGAACTTCAGCACCGTGGCATCGTCGAGAGCATCGGCCACACCCGAGGCACCCGCGCCCATGGCACGGAGCTGCGTTCGCCAGAGTGAGAATCGCGGGAGGGGGGATAACAGCTTCGTGTGTGGAAGAACACGTTCATGGATGGAAGTGAATTGAGCAAATTTGCCACAGGACGCTACGAACGGAGCAAAGGGCATCGCTAATAGGAGCGATCGGACGCTACGTTTGGGGCTCCTGGCCGTACTACTATATAGGAACAAGCACGCTGGAGACTTGGACCCGATCTGGACCGAGTTCATCCCTCTTTCGGCCGTTTGAGTTGTCAAAGATGCGGTCTTCAGTGGCGGTGAGTCGCAAAGGCAGTGGGCCGAGCTGTGACGGAGCAGGATGATGAAGTGAGAGCAAATCCATCTCTAACGTTTCGCCTTTGTATCATCCCCTAAATGATCCCTCAATATCCCTATAATCCGCCTGTGTTTCATCCATCAACTCATCGGCTTCCCTCTTCCGAAACAAACGAGTCCCCGCACCGCGGGGCGGGGCAACTGCTCGGCGCCCATGGCGCGCTGGGCAGTTCGTGCAAAGCGATGCGATCCGAGGGTCGTCGACGGGGAGTTCGCGCGCATTTGGTCGCCCGGATCGTGGCAGTTTGAAGGCGAAAATCACTTGGTGTCTGAAGTCGAGGTCACCACTACTTAGCAGCGGATACTGGGAAATGTTGCTTGGATTATTGTAAAAGAATGGGAGTCCAGCAAAACCTGCGTATTCCATGTTGTTTTTTTTATTTGCAGCTGTCCTAGTGTAGAGCAAATCTGAAGTTTCAGGCCATGGCAACTTGCTTCTTTGGCCTCTACACATTGCCACTTCGTGCACAAGGTCATCATCACACTGAAGCACGTTCTTAATCAACGCCTCTAACATGTCAACAATTGTTTGAACATCCTCACAATATGTCTGTGGCTGACATCTTGAGCCCCAGTTCAAGCAACCAACCAGTGTCCTCCCTTCTCCGATCAAACAGGGCTCCCTCCGACGCGGTCACCAACAACAAATAATGATGCAACATCCCCCACTCCCAAATATTACGGAATGATTCCGTGGCAGTCGGCAGTCGCCTAACTTCTGCCAGGCCTGATCTCATCCTCCTAAACAGTTCAGTCTATAATTGGTGTTGGGAGCAAGGTTCCTTCAGTCTGGGATATACATACTGCTTTGAGTACCTTCATGCCACTGAGCACTTTACACTTCCCCACAAACTACGCGAAATCATGGTTCTGGGGTTCCATGGTTGCATGTTTGGCAGGCAATGCCCTTCCAGAGTTCCAACCATTGAACATTGCAACCCATACCTGGAATTTGCGCTTTTGGCTTTCAGCCCAAAGAAATCGGCTATACAGGACAGTGGCCTTTGTGGCACACCAATCTCAGTTTCGGGAGGCCATGAAATGGCGATCCCTTCCAGTTCAAATGATTTAGATTCACAATCACTTGCAGTTCTTTTTGTGGGATACCTATGATGGACACATAACGGGGAACTTACAGTAATAGTAAACTTAATCATAGGCTACTTAACCTCCTAAAGTTTTGAGAATCAAATGCCCTGATTAGGGACTTCAATGGATTCGCCCGCGGTGGACATGGGATCAAAGATAAAAGGATCGGAAGACAAAAGGACCATTTAAAATAAACCTATCCAGATATAGGTTGGTGGCCGGCCTAATCTGTTCAGCTAAGGCAGAAGATGTCTGCTGATTCCTCACCATCACCCCATTGCTTCACTGAGAAGTGTGTTTTGCTCCACAAATCTGCTCCCTGCCCAAGTGTCCAAACGGTGCTTACAGCTTTCAGTGAAAAAAAGGACTTTTGCCACCATACCGCCGTGCTTTCATCAGAATGCATAAGCAAACTGAACAGGGCAAGTATCCACTACTAGTAAGATCATGGCAAGGATACTTCAGAAAAAAGAATCACATCCGAAATTCAGCTGGATTGTCAGGGAATATTACTTAAAGTGGCCTGAGGAGTCGAGGGTCATGACTAAGTCAGTCTGTCTCCCCCTCTCTCTCTCTCTATCTTCCGAACTGAATGGACCTTCCAGTGGCCTCCACCTGGGCGCAGATTCAACTCATGCGCGTTTGGGTCAGCCCAAGGGATGCAACGCCCGGTCGCGCTAAACCATCTGGCGCATGCGCCGCTCTTTACATGTCCCCATCCTTTCGCCGCTCGGCCGATTGGCCAAAGCAGGGGATGGAGCCTTTTCACAGCGCCAATGGCGTCTCTTCAGGTCTTGTTGGGACCCGAAATGCTGGGCGCCAACCGGCGGCATCCCAGGAATTGGCAGGGCATTGAGCCACCGGCACAAGAGCTGCACTGTTCAATGGCTGACCTGCAAAGCCCTTTAGCTTGGCTGAGACTTATATGACCAAAAGTGTGTCTTCACAGCAAATGCATGCAGGGGTTTCCCGGCACATCCACTATATTTATTATATATACGTTATACAGTAATAGATTATGATAGATTATGCACATGAATGACATTACTGTTTAAATCAATCAGTAACCATGAGCCGGTGGAGTCGATCTTGGTTCTGCCACCATCAATCCGCACGGTTTCCTTGAACACCCGTGCATATCCGTATGACAAGATGTTCAGGGATGGTCAGCTTGGCTCTCCGAACCCAAATGCATCTGGTTGATGTAACGATACAAGCGTCAAACAGGTGAGCCTTTAGCCATGTTGTTTTCCATGCTCCTTGTGCGTTGGTGCGAAACACCGACACCTACGGATCCGGAAGGCACATGCCAAGCACCAACATTCCGAATCCATTTCGATCAACAGGTGAAAACCTCTCGAAACCCATGAGGAGCCTATTTCGGGAGCCTACTGCTTGTGATTGATGTTCATGTTCAAATACTTCACCTACAGCCTTGTGGCTTTAGGCCCTGTCACGAATTGTCAAGCTCTCCAGGAATCTTCAAGGCATGAAGACTGGTGTTGCGTCTGATTCGTGTCACCTCTGCGTCTGATTCATCAGATTTGAATAGACAATTCTCCTATGTATGGAAATTCTGGTCATTCGATTTACGAATCGTGGTCATTCGATTCTCTCCTTGGGTGGTTCGGTATGATGACATCTGGTGACCTTTAAGTGGTATGATGACATTCTGCATTCTCAGAAGAGTCCGCTTTCGACACCAACCTCACAAGGACCAGCAGGCACTTGGTGTCCCTGGCAAAAATTATCTAAAGCACCAAAAGGATCCACGAGGAACATTTTATGACGCGTCTTCCGATTCCGGGACAAACTAGCTGACTCGTATGCCGTTCTCAAACAATCTCCGGGTGCTTTGAATTGGAAAGTGCCAAACATAGCCTGGATCTTTGAAACAGCGCAAATTAGTCAGTGCCTTTTCAGGAAAACATGCCGTTACGGAGTCTTTTCACTGAGCAATGTCTTTCGCAAACATTTAGGCCTTTTGAAGATCCACGACCTTTTCCCCATGACTGTCTCTCACCTCTTATCGGGACCAACAACTAATTATATAGAAATGCCAAAACAACATGAGACCAACTTTGGTATCCTGAAATACCACGCACCATGGAAATATCGAGTTTAGCACCAGTTTAGCTGCCTAGTTGTGCCTTGTTCCAGATGCCCCAGAGCTAAAGCCTGTACAGAATCCCAGGCATGCAGCTCAAAACCTCTCAGCCTCGAGCGCGGCATGTTGCGTGCGGCCAAACACCATGCGGTGTTAACGACGACGAGGACGTGGGGAAGTTCGGTGGGAAGAGCCCTGTGCGGCCTCGCGGCACGGGAACCCAACAGGAAACGCAAAAAATGGAGGACCGCAGAGAAAGGCCAAGCACGCCAAGCAACTGGACAGCTCCACTTTGACCCTGGAAATGATTAGGCGCAAAAAGTTATTGGAGAGAAATATAGAATCGAATGACTGTTCTCATATGCTCGGGGGCTTCGATGACGAGCCGCCACTCCTGCTGTCCCCCCCAAAAAAGACATGACAACATCCACGTCCAAACGACTTGAGTCTGAATCGGTTGATCTAGGTTGATCTGCTGATTCCCCGCCATGCGTCTTCCATTTTGGGGCCCTTCAACCACCTCAACCACCCACCCCACGCGTAGGATAAGCCCCCGCACACGTAGCCAGCCCGACGACGTCGGCTGGCTGAATTGGCCGACCTCGGTGGGTCGGGACGGTCGATTGGTAGCTTCTTGTTACTACTAGTAAGGCACTTGTTACTAGTAGCGATGCCAGGAGCCCCTAGTAGCTTCTTGTCTTTGTGGGGATGAGGTGAGGGAGCTGAGAAAGAGATTCAGCTCCACTCCGACCTGAAAGACCCCTGAAACGAAGTTGAAGCCCAGATCGCAGGGTTTCATCTCTGTTCCAATGTTCGGACGGCTCACAAAGGCATCCAAATATATCCAAATACCCCTTCACCGGACGTGTGGCAGGTACTGCTTCATTTCCCAGCCCTCCCAAGAAGAATTACAAGTTCCACACCGCATCCTGAATGACATCTTTCATCTTCTTTCTTTGTTCTGGATGTCGTGTTCACGTCCGTCCAGCAGACGGATGTTCACCTGGGTTCTGAGGTGCCCAAGTTTGATCGATGCTGTACCTTCTTGCTACTAGTAGTACGGCCAGGAGCTACTAGTAGCGTCCTTGCTCCCAGTAACGATGCCCTTTGTTACCAGTAGCGTCCTCTTGTTACTAGTTACTAGTAGTATCCACACCTGCCAGGCACTCAAGAACAACAAGCCCACCCAGCCAAGCAAACCTCCGCGACCTTCTGGTGCGTTCCAAAACCCCAGCTGCTTGGTCCAACAAGTGCATCGCTACTAGTAGCTTCTTGTTACTAGTAGTAATGCACATTGCTACTAGTAGCGATGCACCTTGTTGTGAAGAGCATGTCCGATGCCTACAACCAACTTTCCATGTGCCACTTGGTGTCGACTACTCGTGAGCAAGATTCGGTGAGGCATCTGCCAAGCGACTCGGTGACTCTCAAACGATCGCGGTGCAAGTGCCTCGACATGGGCCGCTGCATTCCAAGACGGATCTGGATCATGTTACTAGTGGTTTGAGACAATAATCGAAAATGACCACCCTAGCTGTGGAAAGAGATGGTGTCCAATGCGTGGGTGTGTATTAGAAAAGAAAGAGCCTCCAACCAGTGCGTTCTAAGTCTGTTTGGTTGTTCCAAGAGGTCTTTCAAACAAATCTACATGGGAGTTGATCTAAATTCCTTTATCCGGGATCCGTCATGTTCGCCCAAAAAAATTACTTTCGCCAAACTTTCGCCTTCCTGCGTTTTATCTTTCGCCGAAGTACGTTGTATTTATGTGTGCCATGTATGTTGTGTTTTTTCACGTCAATGGCTTCTTCTTTACTGGCAAACACAAAATAGAAACTTCACTGTTTGTCAGCATGTGTCTTCTACTTAACTGTTGACACCCTGTACGTCTCTTTTGTTTCTCCAGAATCAAATTTGCAAGAATCACTGTAGTAGCCGGTCACTCAAACTTACTCATAATGGGCTGGGGGTCAGATGTGGCCGGGTGAACTTTCGCCAATCTTGAGCTGAACTTTCGCCAAACTTTTGCCTTTTGCGGGGTAGAGTTTTGTGGCAAAGCCACCCCCCAAAGCAGGAGCAGGAATAGTAGTAGTAGTAGTAGTGGTAGTGGTAGTGGTAGTGGTAGTGGTAGTGGTAGTCGTAGTAGTAGTAGTAGTAGTAGTAGTGGTGGTAGTGGTAGTGGTAGTGGTAGTGGTAGTGGTAGTGGTAGTGGTAGTGGTAGTGGTAGTGGTAGTGGTAGTGGTAGTGGTAGTGGTAGTGGTAGTAGTAGTAGTAGTAGTAGCAGCCGCAGCAGCAGCAGGTTATCTAACTTCCACAGCTCATCTAGCTTCTGAGTCACTGCCACCAGCTGTTCAGGAAGCAAATGAACATTCATACAAAAGTACATATTTAATCTTTCGCCAGATCTTTCGCAAAAAAGAAAATTGCTTTCGCCAACTCGAGAAAAAACTTTCGCCAACTGAGATTTTGATATGTTCCGGGTCATCGTCATACACACTGCTGACTAGGACCTTTAGATCGACAACCACATGTTGAACTTGTCTTTTTGGGGCAAGTGTTGGAAATCCAATGGAGTGACCTCTAACCTTTCGGAAGCCTCAGCCCAACTAATTCTCAGCCAAAGGACAAATGGCAGGACTGGTGTTGCACGGCCACCACTTGTAGCCCTCCGCACACTGCTGGCAGTTCCTAGGCGTCCGATCCCAGATTGGAACCCAACACGGACACATCACCCCTAGTAGCATCCCTGCTCCCAGTAGCGATGCCCTTTGCTCCTAGTGGCTTCTTGCTCCTAGTAAGGCCAGGAGCCCCTAGTAGCGTCGTTGCTCCTACAAGTAGTAGCCATGCCAGCCACAACCTTGGATGCCCTTGGATACAGTTGGGTTTTGCAGAATTTGTTCCACATTAAGAGGAGTCCAGTCCTGGTGGCTAATGCGACCTTGGGCTTCCGTTTGCCACGGACAATGGCGACGTTACTGAAAAAAGGGTGATGATGACACTGACAGGTGAAAACTTACTTATATACCAGTTGGTGGACAACGGACAAACATCATCATGATCATGATGATGATGATGATGATGATGATCATCATCATCACATTGTTATGTTATGTTCCTTCCTTATCATTATCATCATCATCATCATCATCATCATCATCATCATGATGATGATGGTCATCATCATCGCCAGAATCATCATCAAATTCTGCCGTTGGTGAGGTTCATGTTGTTCTAATCTGATCGCATAAACAGAAGGCCCAAATTCCTCAGCCCATGCGATCAAATAAAGCAACGACACAACAATATTGGGTTCTCACTTTAGCCCTCCTTACACTCCTTACCATGGGCAGCTGTGCATCCCAACTTACTATGTGAGCAGTCCTTTTTAAAACTGCATGGACAAGTGGGTTCTTATACTGTTGTTTGGCCTACGCCATTGGCTACGCAATGCCTATGAGGAAAGCACGCACCGAACTGCAACAATGCCTATGCGACCACACTCCGGCAAGACTTTGATCTATCTATCGTCACCTCGAAATGTTGACCACACTTTCTGTTTGGAAGGTGCCTTAAGCCATTGCCTCCATAGCCATATCACTTCTCATCACTTCTCCCATGCGTCGACCCATTTTCGAACCAAGGATCTCATTGGTCGCGCCATTGGGAGGCAGGCCCTGACGACGCGTCTGCGGTCGTCTGCGATCTGAGGATGTTTAAACTGAAGTCGACCGGACATGGCTGGAGTTTATTTTTTGTGTGTGTGTTTCTAGTCATGACACCTAGGTGTGAGGAAGCCAGTCTGCTCGATGAGAAGACAAACTTCTTCGAACGCCTTGGAGATTTCAGCAATCTCTCCTCACAGCACTGCGAAACGGGTGAATGCTGACAATGGAGCCCGTAGCTTCCAGCGCTCCCGAGCGCGGCGGGTCCACCACTGGGATCGGTCGGTCTGTCTAGCGGTCGGATGCGGGAGGCGGTCAGCTCCACGCTCTTTCGACAGCTCCTGTCTCTTGAGCTGCCGAGCGAAGTATAACTCTCAATCAACCGAGAGAGGTTGCTGCTCCGATGCCTGCAGGGTGACAGGGCATATTGTGAACATCCAGACCATCCCCGTCGACACATCATCGACTGAAGGGTCTTCTTTGAGTCCAACGAGGGTCGTGAAGGACCCACCGGATGCACCGAAGCACGCCACTCCACGCCGCAAGGGGCCGGCATCGTATGGCGTGGCGGCGTACAGGCTAAGCAATCTGAGGTATGCGGTCAATAACCACCATGTTTCTATGATCCTCACTCTATGCATATACTATGTAATCAAGGACGACCAACACATGTTCGCGCTCGAAATTGCTCACGCTTTTGCTCGAATCATACGAACACTTGCAAAACTGTATTGCTTCAAATTGAGTGGGCCCGTCTATAAGCGGGATCAATTTCTGGTACCGTATAGCACGTGTAACATCCCCGTGTGGTCCTCTGGTTCCAGATCAGCCCTTGAGCTCCCGCCAAGTTTCATGGTAGGATGTGGCTCATACTGAGGGACAATCCCTATGGCTAAAGCAAAGTCTCCCCATTCTGGTATGCGGCATACATCGGCATACTATATTACACAATCAAGTTCCACTTGGTCCAAACAGTAGCCTTTGCCGGCTGGTCACATCCCTGCAGGCGAACTACTATCCATGAGTTTGTATCCCAAGCAAGCCCTTCCCCAAATCAGAAGGCCCGAAAGTCTCTCCAGAAATATGTTTTGGGTGAGGCTACGCAATGCCCTAGCTCACATGTCATGCCCGAAAGAAAAAGATAGTCCCACCTCAGTGGGGACGCATGTCATTGGTCCAGTCTGAGACATGGTCGTGGTGGTCGTCGTCGTGGTTGTAGTGGTTGTAGTGGTCGGTGCGGCTGTGGTGGTCTCCTAGCAACTTCGGTCAGTTTAACCCATCCCCCTGTTCTCTCGTGTCGACCTCTGATATCTGTGGGATAAGTCTATGAACGGACAAACGGTTCACGTCGACAGTTTGGGACAAATACAAAAAATCAAACAAAAATGGTTTCCAAGTAACCCAATGGTCACAGATCTCCTATGACAAAAATAACGTTAACATGATTCCCCCATCTTTAACATAACTTCATCACATGGGTTTGTTTAGATGATGCGTACCGCAACAAATGTATCGCTCATTTCCTGCTTCCCCCTGCATAATTCCCTAAGGATGAGTTGATAACAAACAATAAAACGATCTCGGTTCATCGGTCGATGGACCATTGGACTTGGGTACATCACAAGCTCATCAATCGGTACTTTCCCGACGTGGAATGGGCTTCAGCTGAAATGCTGTTTAGAGATGTTGACAGGCAACTTCAAACGCATTCTCCAAGTAACAGCGAAAAAACTAATCCCAACCTACTAGCAATGCCCTCCAACCCACTAGCAATGGCCTCCAACCTACTAGCGATGGCCTCCAACCTACTTGCAATGGCCTCCAACCCACTAGCAATGGCCTCCAACCTACTAGCGATGGCCTCCAACCTGCTTGTATTGGCCTCCAACCTACTAGTGATGGCCTCCAACCCACTAGCAATGGCCTCCAACCTACCAGCGATGGCCTCCAACCTACTAGCGATGGCCTCCAACCTACTTGCAATGGCCTCCAACCCACTAGCAATGGCCTCCAACCTACTAGTGATGGCCTCCAACTTACTAGCAATGGGCCTCCAACCTACTAGCGATGGTCTCCAACCTACTATAGCGATGTTCACAGGCAACTTCGTGCCACCAAACGCATCTATACCTGGATGATTTTGGGGTGGTCAACTGTGGCAGTGCCTGGCAATCTACCAATGGCCGTGCGAACCACCTCGCAACATCTTTGGACGTTTCTCCAAGTTCCATCTAGTACAGGACGGACATATATGGACATATGCATGTTGCAGCTCAGAAATGCCCTTTCTGCCTCCATTGCGGTGTCTCTATCAGGTCTCCCCGGTTCGGTTCTTGAGGCATCTTGAGGCTATTTCAAGCCTCGGAGGCTGAAAATCCTCAACACCAATCGGACGTCCCACGGCCAATCCGGTCGGCGTCGGCGTTCGCCCAGGTGCCGAACAATCACACAGCTGTCCACCACAGGGCCACGCCTGGGCCATCCGACCCCCAACAAACCAAGCGGTTTGTGCACAGGAACAAGGACGCTACTGGGGGCTCCTGGCATCGCTACTAGGAGCAAGGATGCTACTAGGGGCTCCTGGCATCGCTACTAGGAGCAAGGATGCTACTAGGGGCTCCTGGCCTTACTACTAGGAACAAGAAGCTATTAGAAGCTATACTATAAGTGCAAAGCTTTTGGAGGAAATTCTACAAACCGAGCGGTCAAGATTCAGCAAAGCACCACATCTCTGACCCGTTTCGTCGAATGACAGGGGCCTTTCCTCTTTTTCTGTGTCTTAAAGGCAACGAAATCTATCCCCAAAGATCTTAAATAACGGTTAAAGCACCTTCGTTTGGAGCACCAATCTCTTTCAAAGTGACCTGTTGATATGTTGCTTTTCACGTCCCTTGAGCCTGACATTCAGCCTCCAAGCTATACTAGCGATGGCCTCCAACCTACAAACCAATTTGGGGACCCCCAACGAATGCGAACATGGCCGACGAAGCAACGCCTACTATAGCTTTTTGGATCCCGAGAGCGTCGATGGGCGTCGATGGGCGTCGATGGGCGTCGATGGCCCGGTGTCATCAGCGCAAGAGGGGAGGGAGCAACGAAACCACTGCACCAGTGCAATGTGTCCTCTCTCTAGGACCCTTGTTCAATAGTACTTGTTTCATCTTTTTTCTTCGTTCACCGGGAAAAACACGAAAACAGTTACTTTCTTGAAGTGACCAAACCCGCCGAGTTTTGAATGGTTTTTCTTAATCTTGGGTTTCTATTGATGGGTCATGAAATGGATGGATGTCGATTTGATTGAGCCATTTTTGGGGCATCTCATGGATTTCATACAAGGCCGCCAGCCCTGGACTTTCCAGATCGGCCCAGTGACTCCCGGCTGCAGCTTGGCACAAGCCAGCACACATCGCTCATCTGTGGCGCCCAAGGTATTGCTGATGGCCCTGCAGGCCTTGGGCGTGTGGTCCACCATGGTGACGCATTGGTTCTTTTCCGGACTACACCGAGTGCACTCACCTCCGGTCGTCTGGTTCGTCGAAACAGACTCCGCACTGTGCACTCTTGGAGTGGCCCGCCTGTCCGCCTAGTGTTGCATTGAACCCAGGTCCGACGCCGCATGGAGACGACTAGTTTTGTCGATCCTGTGTCAACCGGCAAAGCAAAGGACTGCCAGTTGCGCAAAAAACAGGAGAGAGACCAAACAGCCTCTTCTGCATGCTTGTCATGAATGTGAGGCTTTTGGGGCTCGTCACGACTTGTAGTGCAAGAGCTTGGCTGCCCCTAGAGCTGATCCAAAGAGTCATCTGCTCAAATCCTCTGCTTAGATAACCAGTGGCACTGCCGGATCTGATTCTATCTGATTCTGATAGACAAACAACCAAATAACAAGGAAACAACCAAGCAACTATAAGCAACCTTCGACCAAGCCTTTGGACCTTGCTGGTTATTTATTATAATGATGTTCTGTACAAAGTGATGCGAAGTGTGACGCGAATCAAATGTATCGTATAGCCTTTCAACAAGGAATTTATCATCTATATATTACTTGCGCGATTCAACACTGTATAATATTTTTAAAAAATGGAAATAACCTTATGAAACAACAACAAGCCTGCTCTGGTTGCACATATCGGAAAATCTCTGACCTTTACAGTTGACGGTACCATAGAACATGCCCCATATCCAATGTCCAGACCTTTGTGAGGTCGACAGCCCATCAATGTCCAACCTCCGTGCTGGTTGGTGCGGGTCCGTGCCAATCATGATGGTTGACAAGGAACAAGAGTCGAAGAATCGAAACCACGAAGAATCGAATGAATGCAGAAGAGTCGAAACCAGTGAGAAGTGGTTTTGCCATGGTTTTCGCTGAGAGTTGTGAGCATTCGTACTACCCTTTCGCCAAGCCACTGGAGCTGCCGTGGTGGTGGTGGTGGTCGTCGTGGTTGCTGCAGTGGTGGTGGGTGCGGCTGTGGTAGTGACCTCATCCCGTTTGGCTGAAACAAGCGCGGGAGCCCTGAATCATGGCACGTGTTCCAAAAACGAATATCGAGAGATTTGGCCATGTCTCCCAGAATTGGGATCCTTGCCAAAACAAAAAGGAACTGTCCTTTTCTAACTAGCAGGCAAGTTCACCTCTGAAGTATCTGAGTACTCAGTTTTGACATGTTCAGGGGACCATTGTTGACAATTTGTATAATACGCACTAGGCATATATATATTATACACATATAAGTACATATCATATACATGCATTACACTTGCATAATATATATATATGTATATATATATACAACATATCATATGCATATACAGCCAGAATCAGCTACACATATTATATGAACAGTGACCAGTACTTCACTGCCCCCGCGTCTTTTGGCGTCTACCGAGTCTACCACAACTTGCAAACATCATCTTTACTATTCGACCTCAAATTGTGAACGTACAGAAAATGAATATGTTTCGTGGATCATTGGAACCACCATCCATCGCGCAATCCCATCACTTCTGCCATGCGTCTGTGGTGGGCGGTGCAGTCGTCGTGGGAGGCACGGTGCTTGAAGTGCCTAGGTCCGGATGCATTGGACGCCTGATCCCACGAGTTCCTGGGATTTTCCTTCGATATCCGGTCCGACCTGGTTGGTCTTAAGCGTCCTGATCGGTCACCAACTCACTTGGACCGTGGTGAAACATACCTACTAGCGATGGCCTCCAATTTACTAGCGATGGTCTCCAACCTACTAGCGATGGCCTCCAACCTACTAGCGAAGGCCTCCAACCTACTAGCGATGGCCTCCAACCTACTAGCGATGGCCTCCA